ACAAATCTCTGGAACTAGGCTTTGGCTTTCAGGATGAAGAAAGCCATGTATATAGCTCAGCTTGCAATCTGACGTGCGTGGGTTCAAATTTGGGCGATCATGTAACTTGAGTAATCCATTTTACCTTTCTGAACCTCAGTTTCCCCGTTTGTTAAGTGGGAATAATGAGCACCTTTGTTGCGAGGAAATAATCATAATGTGAAAGCATGCTTAATGCCTGGCGCAGCAAACACCTACTAAGTGGTATTAGTTATTACCTGCCTTCCCCAAAAGTTTGTTTCAACCATGACTATTTGTCTTGTTTCTTTTATATCTTTTTCTCCAAACATGTATTTGCATGGTAACAATTCTTGGCAAGTGCTGACTTGTTAAAGCCCAGCATAGATTTCCATGACAGCTTCCAACAGAATGCCTCCCTCGAGTCTGTCTTGGGCCTCAGACTGCTTGCAGATAGATTGATCAGTAAATGGTGATAATTCCTGCAGTAATACAAGAATACTTCTGTCTTAGGAGATTGCAGACCTGTTTCCTTTCGGCCCTATGATCTTGGGCAGTCTCTTTTACCTCCCAGGAGCCTTAAATTTTCTCAACGGGAAAAGAGAGGGTTTCTGAGATCTCTTTTACTAAGTAATACCTCTACCTATTATATTTTCTTGTGTTTCCAGAAGGACAAAGGACCCATAGCAAAGCTTGGCCTTTCCAATTTTTCAGTGTAAAAAGTAATTTCTATTCCCTGGCCATATTTAAGTAAAAAATATAGGAATTAATAAAACACTTTAGAAATCTCATTAAATTTGAAATGCCAGAAACTGCTGTCGTTTTTAAATGAGATAGATGCCAGTTACATTTTCTGATTAGCAGTGCCAGGCTGTTGTGTTTGAATGAAAGAAGCATTTTCATATCTACAAGTAATTTGTGCCTTACTGAAAACTTAAGACTTGTGTATCAAGGGGACTGCAGAAAGAGCTGAACTGAATATCAGGCCAGGCTAACCTACCTCCAAGCGCTAAAGTGGAATCAGACATTCTTCCTGGTTTTGGAGTGGTGTTTGACTTTAACTTGGCTCCTTGTACATTTGTTCATTGGGTTGATATATTTGATTTGTAAGGACTCGGGCTGAAATCACTACCCGCCCTGATTGAAACAAGGCCTTTTGGAAAGCTTGTCATCTTGAAGTAGAGGTACTGTCTAGTTTTCGTAGTTTGGAAAATTAGTATCACAGTACATAACCCAAAGCTGACATAAAAAGGCCTCATTAGCTTGATTTTGGCTGAAGGAGAGAAATCATTCTACCATTTTGTACTTTTGAAATTTTCTTTTAGAAGTACAGTCTAATTTTTTAAAGGCAGATTTTAGGAGTTTGGTATTAAGTTCCTTGAGAGCTTAGTATACTACTGAGAGCTTGAGGCCTCTTCAGGTTGGTAGAAGGTTAAGCTGTACAGATATTTGAATAAATTGAATATAAATGTCACTACAATTTTTCTTCAGAGGAGCCCTTTTTAGGATTTTACCTAGTTTTTAAAAATTATTTGTACTAATTGCAAATCCCTTTTCTGTATAAGTGGCTATAGCTACTCTGCTGTTTGAACTTACTAAACTCAAAAATGATGTCTTTACTCAGAAACTGGTGAGCATCCCACTTAATAGTATTGCCATTTCCATTTGCAGCCAAAGAATCGCAGAGTAAAGAAGAACTTCAAGAAATTCAGATATGTGAAGTTGATTTCCATGGAAACCTCGTCATCCTCTGATGACAGTTGTGACAGCTTTGCTTCTGATAATTTTGCAAACACGGTAAGTGCTGCCTAAGAATAAACAGAATTGAGTCTGCAGTGCTCAAAATGCCCCAAATGCTTTGTGCGTGATTAAAACTGCTTGCTTTTTGCCTACATTTCTATACAGTCGTTATGAAAATACAGTATGCACTGTAATTTCATTTCACTTTTTGCTGTGGTTCTAGGTAGTAATTGTTGGAGGTAGATTAGCTACTTATTCTATCCTTTTGAAATGTCGCCTAACCTAACATGCTTGATGATTTGCCATAACAACTCAGAAATCATTTGTAAACCTCTGAACCATTTTTCTTTGTAACAAAAGCTATTCTCTTGTAGTGCACTTGTAAATGTGATTTGCTCTCTGCACGGTTTATGGAAAATTGGTTCTTGAAAAAGGGGGAAAAATGCACAACCACATTTATTTATTTATTTTACAGAAACCTAAATTCAGGTCAGATATCAGTGAAGAACTGGCAAATGTTTTTTATGAGGACTCTGATAATGAATCTTTCTGCGGCTTTTCAGAAAGTGAGGTGCAAGATGTGTTAGACCATTGTGGATTTTTGCAGAAACCAAGGCCAGATGTCACTAACGAACTGGCCAGTATTTTTCATGCCGACTCTGACGATGAATCATTTTGCGGGTTCTCAGAGAGTGAGATACAAGATGGAATGGTGAGTTTGAGAATTTCACCAATATCAAGAAGTAAGGTACATTTCAAGGCATGACATACATGCTTTAAAAAAGTTTTTTTTCCTGTAATTTTTGTTTTAGTCATGCCAGAAGATTCTGTTGATCATTTTAAAACTTAAGGGTATTTTCTTCATGTCTTAAAGCAGTTTTTACTCATGTAGTCCTACTCGTAAGCCTGAACGTTTTGTAGGCTCTGAAAATCTTGGAAACTGGTAATAAAAAATCGGCCAACCTCCAGATTTCCATGGCCACAGAAATCCAGCCTAATCAGAAGAAGGACACATGTCCTCAAAATTAGCTACATTCGCATTTAAGTTCAAGTGCCCAGTCCAGTGCCTGGCATAGAGCAGGCCTTTGGTAAATGTTCCCGTTGTGGAGCTATGCATCTGAAAAGCCTATGATAATTCATGTGCATGAGATTGTGTATTGTTTATGACAGTCAGGGCCCCTTCCTGCTTCCACTTTTGCTCCTTGGTCTGCTTTTCCTGTGCACACTGCCTTATCTTTTTAACCTCTATCCCCCTGCTCAGGCCACTGCTGCTGCTGATGCATCTCGGGCCCACTCTCCTTGAGCATACTGTTTATTTCTGCAGACGTTTTCTTGTTAGCAAGATTTTCTTGACAAAGGAAGCAGTGTGTTGATTTACAGTATGGTGCATAATCTTCAGCTCATTGTGGTCTGACATGGGTCCACTGCCTGGGACCACACTTGAGGGACACTGGTATAAGTGAGAGTGCCTGGCCAAGAAGTGTTTCATCACTGTCTAACTTCATGGTAATATAATATTTCTTCTAATAAGTGATGTTGCTCTAAATTGGTGCGTATTGGAGTTATTGCGAGGGCTGGTCTGCAAATCTGGATGTGACCCAAACATTTTCTATGGCCTGAATCACTTCTGGGTGTTTTTTCAGATCTTTGTAGATGTGGATTGTACTGATTAATAAAACGCCAATTGATTAAAAGTCTTAAGAACTCATAAAAGTTTTTTTGTCACTTTATATTCTCTCAGTTCATGACACTAAAAGTACATGGAGAGTAATAGAAGCTGTGATGATTTTAGAAATTTTTAAATTTAAAAATGGGTCTTCCCTTTCTGAGACTTTATGGGTGATATATTTTGTTCTCGTTTTTTATTTATTTAACCTCAACCATGCCCACAGTCAATTTTAGGATATTTTCATCACCCTAAAAAGAAACCTGTACCCATTAACCGTCACTTAGCATCCTTTCCCCACACCCTCAGTCCCTGGCCACCACCAATCTGTTTTCTATTATTATAGATTTGCCTATTCTGGACATATCATATAAGTGGAATCATACAATATGTGGTCTTTTGTGACTGGCTTCTTTCACTTAGTGTAATTTTTTAAGATTCTCCCATGTCATGGCATGTGTCAGTACTTCATACCTTTTTATTGTTGATCAATATTCCATTATGTGAATATACCACATTTATACATCATCGGTTGATAAATGTTGAACATGTTGGGCCATTTGTACCTTTTAGCTATTATGAATAACACTGATAGGAACACTCATGTACAAGTTTTTGTGTGGATATATACTTTTGAGTATATAACTAGGAGTGGAATTGCTGGGTCATAAAGTAACTGTTTAACCTTTTGAGTAACTGGCAGACTTGTCCAAAGTGGCTGTACCATTTTACATTCCAACCAGCAATGTATCTCCACATCTTCGCTGCATTTGTTATTGATTTAGCTCTCCTAGTGGATATGAAGTAGTATCTTGTGATTCTGATTTGCATTTCCCCAATGGCTAATTTTAACACATATTTAATGATAAAAACCTATATTACTTTGAAATATTTTTTTTATTTTCATCTTATAAAGTAGATTAGAGAGGTACCTAAAGTAGTCAGATTCAGGGACAGAAAGTAGCATTGTGGCTGCCAGGGGTTTGGGGGAGGGGGAATGGGGAGTTACTGTTTCATGTGTACAGATTTTCAGTTTGAGAAGATGAAAAGTTCTGAAGATGAACGGTGGTGATGGTTGGACAATAATAGGAATGTATTTAATGCCAGTGAACTGTACACCTAAACATGGTTAAAATGGTAAATTTTATGTTATGTATACTTTACCACAATTTTTTTAAAAAGTAGATTAAAGCATTGACTCATCTTTAACATAGTTTAGTGTTAAAGCCATGTTTATGAGAGAACCCATATTCCTGTAGGAATTTTTAAAAAATACATAACAATCCATTTTTAAAGAAATTAAAAAGGGAGCCGAGATTTTCACATTAACAAAAAAAGCTCAGAACTGCTGGCCATGGGGCTGTGAAGATGGCTTATAATACTATGTCCCAGAGAGGCTACCTAAGTTAAACTGCACTCAGATTTTGTTGTATTTATTTGTAATTTCGGAATTTGTTATCCAGAGCTGTCAGTTAAAATGGACAAAGTGGTCAATTAAAATGTATTCGATGCAGGTGTCTTTTGTTCAGAAAGGATTTTGTAGTCATACTGGTGCAGCTTGTTCCACAGTCAGAAAGTCACTAACGACTCCGTTGTTCTGATGGCCTAGAGACTGCAGCCAGACCGTGCGGGCTGTAGGACTCGCAGTCAGTGCAGACATCCAGGACCTCTCCGAGTGGCCATGAAGTTTCCAACTCGAAATACCAGGAGAGCAGCCAACAAGAAAGCAGCACCCCCTGAACCCTCAGAGAATTCTGTGACTGATTCGAATTCTGATTCAGAAGATGAAAATGGCTTGAATTTTTTGGAGAAAAGAGCTTTAAATATAAAGCAAAACAAAGCGATGGTAGGTATCTGACCTGGAACGAACTCTTCCCAGGTCTTCTCTAAGCTACTTGTTGCTTATCTGTCAAGGAGTATTTTCAGTGTAGCGGTGAAGTCTTTACAATGTGTGCTTTAAAATATGTGTTCTTTCCATATACTTTTTTTTAAATATCTATTAAAGTCTTGGTAAATGTGTAGGTAAAATCAGAAACTCTTTTGAGATGTGCTACAGTAATTTCCAGAGGTTGCTCATTTTCAGCGGTTATTCTAAACTAATCATTTCTGTTTAATTTCCTTCCTTTTTAGCTTGCAAAACTAATGTCAGAATTAGAAAGCTTCCCTGGCGCGTTTCCTGGACGGCATTCCCTCCCGGGCCCCAGTTCCGTAAGTGCAGATCCTTGCTTGTTCAGTAGTGTTTGGGGCAGGTCTAAGGTAGGTTCGTTATGACATTCGAAAGTCCAGTTTCCTTATTTTGTATGGTTTTATAGACAGGAAATACAGAAAACCTATATTAGGTCTCTGGGGTCTCTTCCTTGCCTCCTGGGGCAGGTGTGGCCTCCCTGTGCCATGCTCATGCACTCGATCGCTTATTTTTCTCCTTCCCTCGTGCAGGAAATAAAAATTGAAAAAATTTTTTCCATGTCCCCAGCATTAGCACATTCCTCCTACATGGTAGATGCATCATAATAGATGTTTTTAAAATCAGAGGAGGAAAAAATTATTTTCCTAACCAAGTCATAGCCTAATATGTGTGATTATATTCTGAGGAACTAAGCTGGTACCACTCAGGGGACTTTGGTGTGTCTGCTGTGGTACAAAAGAAAAGGCCTTTCCCCACCTCTCCTGAGGAAAAAGGGAAGAAGCAAGCAAGGAATGGAAGAAGGGAAACCATACGTACTTTTCTCTCTTGTGTCATGTAGAAACAATGAGTATGTAAGAGCTCAAGAGATGTTGTAGGAAAGGGTATTTTGGAAAATGAGATTCGTTCTTACATTTGTATTATGTAGATGAATAAGTAGATCATCTAATTTTGAGAGAAACTGGACTTGATGTTACAAAAGCAAAATTATAATGGCTATATCATTTTTGGGGCTCATTTTCCATGAATTATAGAAAGAACAAAGATAATTAGAAAACAGAGCTCTCTTTTTCCTTAAAAGAAACAAAAAAACATATAAGGAGAAGGTGATGCTTCTCTTCCTTCTGGAATAAATGGGTTCCGCTGTATGTGTTTTGTTAAGCAACCAAAGACACCCCGAAGGCGTACCTTCCCAGGTGTTACTTCCAGGAGAAACCCCGAACGGAGAGCTCGTCCTCTCACCAGGTCAAGGTCTCGGATCCTCGGGTCCCTTAGCTCTCTTCCTGTGGAGGAGGAGGAGGAGGAAGAGGATAAGTACATGCTGGTGAGAAAACGGAAGTCCATGGATGGCTACATGAACGTGAGTTTCCTGTGTCTGTGCTTGCTCTTCTGTTTTTCATCTTCCGTAGGCCCAGTGTCATATGCCTAGCATGGGTATGCACATAGCCTCAACACCAAATGATTCATGTTAAACGTTCCCAAACTGTTCAGAATTATTAGTGTCGCACAAAGTTATTTGGTGGTTTTTGTTAGCAGGTAAGAGAGTTGTTTTCTTCTTCGACTTTTCTTAGTTGTAGGAATTATTTCCATGATGTCCTGTTATTTTTAGTAAACTGAAGACTTGCCTCCTCTTCATCAGTCTTAAGAGAAATTTCCAGGTTTAATTCTCTGAAGAAATTATAAATCAAGTATCTGAAATTCAGAGCCGGGGAGAGCCAGTAAGAGCACTGTTCCCTGCTTGTCATTATATAGGAAGATGACATGCCCAGAGGTCGTCGTCCTGGATCCATGACCCTTCCGCATGTAATTCGCCCGGTGGAAGAAATTACAGAGGACGAGCTGGAGAACATCTGCAACAGTTCTCGAGAGAAGATATATAGCCGTTCATTGGTAAAAAGCCTCTACGTTCTGTCTGAAAATGTAACCGTCTGGAGGAGAGGAAGAAAGCTTCCATCCTTAGAGTTTTGCTAATATTCTAAAGGTCTTAGCCTATAGGGTATATGCCTATGTGTTATTTTCATATAAGAAAAGAGTTTTATAGCATCCTTGGGATTTAAGCCTCTTAATAAGTCTTCAGTAGCATTAAATGTTTTCCCTTGATTTAGAAGTTGATTCATTCACATATATTTACTGTGTATGATGTGTGTCTAGATAGATTGGTACTGGGGATTTGGTGCTAAAGATAAAAAAGGATTTGGGGCAGGGTTATTTTGCATGATAAGATCTTTTCCTGAAGAAAATTAGTTTTGATAATATTAACTTTTGAGTCTGCCAATTGGATGAAATCACTCGAAGTACTTTTATTAAATACCTTGGCATATACATGTGTATGTAGATGTGAAATAAGATTCAGAATGTCAGATTCTACCCACAAAGAAGGACATTCTTTAAATATGCCATTTTTCTCTACTCAAAGCAGTGGTGGTTTTTTGTTTTGTTTTGTTTTGTTTTTCTTATTTGCTTATTATTTGTAGGGATCTACTTGTCATCAGTGCCGCCAGAAAACAATCGATACCAAAACAAACTGCAGAAACCCAGAGTGCTGGGGCGTTCGAGGCCAGTTCTGCGGTCCCTGCCTTCGAAACCGTTATGGTGAAGAGGTCAAAGATGCTCTGCTGGATCCAGTAGGTGCCTCGAAGGGGTGATCTGTGGACTTGAAGGCCTGCCATGAGCTGACAGGGCCAGAAAGACAGCATGGGTTGAGCCCTTAGTGTTGTGGGTGTTCATTTCAGGAGAGCAGATGAATTCATAGTGTTGGTGTTACATAGTTGCGAGCCCCTTCCAGAACGCTTGGGACCTGGCCGTTCTTCATTCACCCCTGGTAGTTTGCTGTGTGACTTTCTGAGCCTGATTTCCTAAGGGAACATTGGGCATGACGGATGGCTAATAACCATGTTACGATTTTTTTTTTTTTTTAATTAAAAAAAAAAAGATTCAAATGCAATTGATGGTAACTACCTTACAGGTTAAATAGGAATACATAAGTAAGGGAGAGAAGTAGGTTTGCTTTAATTATGCCTTTTCACAATTCTCCTTCAGAACTGGCATTGCCCACCTTGTCGAAGAATCTGCAATTGCAGTTTCTGTCGGCAGCGAGATGGGCGGTGTGCGACTGGGGTCCTTGTGTACTTAGCCAAATACCATGGCTTCGGGAATGTGCATGCTTACTTGAAAAGGTAATGGTTGGTTTTTCTCTTTTCCATACCCAAATCTTACCTTGATTTATGTGTCTTCATAAAAGGATAATAGAAGTCAGAGTAGTGGTTATCTCTGGGTGGGGGTGCAGGCGTTGACTGGAAAGGGGCACACTGAGAGTCTTGGAAACATTTTACATTTTCATATGGGTAGTGGTAACTCACGTGCACACTCATGTGTGTATAAAAATTGAAGTTGTACACTTAAGATGTTATAACTCAATAAAAATATTTTTAAAAGAGTGAATTAGTCATTTAAAAGAGTATTCTTAGTTTGAAAATGATATCCTGACATGTTGCATTTTCTTTTTTCAGTCTGAAACACGAATTTGAAATGCAAGCATGATAGCTGGAAGATCCACTACCTGCCTTCCACCGCATAAATATTCCTGGTTAAAGTTTTCACTTTTGTCATGTGATTGAAACCCAAGTTAAGAATTTTGATGGTCAATCTGTTTTATAGGAAAGTCAAATCAGGTTAATCTCATTAGACGGATGTTTCTGAGCATCATGGAAGCATATTGCTTGCTAGCCATACTTTGCCCTCTTGCCATTTCTCCTTTGATTTCCCCTGCCCCTCACCACCCCCCTCTATTTCCAGTGGTTCTCTTTCACCATCTGGTTTCTGATTTTTTTTTTTAATGACAATTTTATGAAAGCATGCTTGATTTAACTGGTGTTGAAATAGCCCTGGAATCCACCTATAAAACCAAGCACTTAGAAACACAGTAGTAGTGTTAACTAACTACATCTATTGAATTCCAGAGACTAGCCCTCTAACTTGTTTACAGGAAAACAATGGGTATGATTTAATGTTTGTACTAGTTGATATTTCTAACAAGACTCAAGGCGCAGAAGTCTTAAAACCACGTGGAGAAATGAGGTCATCATTGGAAAGTGGAGTATGTTGCTTCGGATGCCTCAAGAATATTCTGTGTATTGTGCTTATTAGACAAGTCGTCGCAGCTGAGGCTTAGTTGCTGCTGATTTCTTCCACCATGGGGTTGGGGTGCATCAGGCTCACACAGTCCTGACCCAAAGGTTTGTGGGCAGTGCTATACTTGAGGTCATTGTAGAGTAGAAAAGATATCCTAGGGAATTAGGATGGCGAGTCTTCAGAAATAGGCTGATTTGAATTCATGGTATAAAACTTTGGTATAATGGTAGTTTACCAAGTTTATTTCAGTACACAAATATGTAAGGTATTTCAAATAAATTCTTGATCATTTTGCATGGAAAATTAATACTAACACTAGTCTACAATTGTTTGCAGTTTTTGCTTTCTTGAAGACATAAGCTAGGCACAGAGTTCGTGTTCAGGTTTTTAAGCACTTTGAGAACAATGACAAGTGCCTTTTTGGAGATGGGTAACTTTCCAGTTTGTTAACTTGATGTCTGTGCCACTTTAGTTTCTGGGCAGAATTCATGTGTCATCTCCCCCTTCCTCATTTTTTACATTAATCAAATCGTCTGAGAGAGGTGGAATCTGCTTTGCATGTGCAGCCTGTTGCTATGCCCATTTGGTGTTTGTTGCGTAATTGGACCTTGAATCAATAAATGTAAATAGAGCTTTTGATCTGTAATGCTTTTATACAAAGTTTTTATTTTAATAATAAAACATTTTGTTTTAGCTTGTCTGCTTTTTTTAAATCTTCAATGCTCAATCTTACTGCACTGAATTCTATTTTTTTCCCCCCTCATATTTAAACAACAGACCATTTCTGCCTTTTCTAGTCTCCCTTTTGGTTTAAATTTCTGAAGGTCAAGGGCCAGCTCTTTTGAAGAGGGTCTAGCTTGGTGATATGACTCCTAGCTTCGATCAGAAAATCAACCAAGACGGATACATCGCCAGATAGAAAATAGTATGTGCTCATGAAGTTTTATAATGTTGGTTTCTTTTACCATTTGCCAACCCAAGAACTAACAGTGATTTCACAATACCTGACTTGCTTTTAGCAACCATTCAAATATCTATTAAAGGCACACTGTGCTTTGAAGCCTGGTCCAGGACTGAGAGCTTCAAAAAGACAAAAGCATGGTCTGAAAGCTACCGATTATTGGACCACGGCAAAAACTATAGTTGGTGGCCAGATCATGCTGCAGCCTATTATTCATGTGGCATCTGAACTGAGTATGTTATTGTACCTTTTTAGAGGTTTGTAAAAAAAGCGTGTGACAGGCAGTATGGTCCACAAAGCCTAAAATGTTTAGTTCTGGTGCTTTACAGAAAGTTTGCTGACTCCTCTAGACTTATCTGCGAAACCATGTTTACCTACACATATTTGGGGAGAACAAGCGAAATGAAGTTTTTGTTTGTTCGTGGTGTGTGTGCGCAGCCTATGTAATCTTATGGGTAGGTCAGCGTACTTACCACCACAGCCAAGATGCAAGTATGGTTTTTTAAAATTACATTTTAATTTTTAAAATTTTATTTTTAATTATAGTTGATATGTCTTAGTCTTAGTTTTGGGTGTACAACAGTGATTCAACATTTATATGCCTTATAAAAGCACAGTAAGTCTAGTAACCATCACTGTACATTAGTTATGATATTGGTGACTGTTCCCTATGCTGTATTTTACATCCCGTGACTTATAACTGGAAGTTTGTGCTTTTAATTATGGTTGATATTTAATATTTTATATTTTAGGTGAACAACATAGTGGTTAGACATTTATATGATTTATGAAATGATCCCCCAGTTAGTACCCACCTGGCACATACACTTACTAAAATATTACTGACTATAGATATATATAATACATATATATACACATACATATATATCCCCTATGCTTTACATCCTTGTGACTATTTTATGACTGCCAATTTGTACTTAATCTCGTCACCATTTTCGCCCCAACCCTAAATGAAGTTTTATAACATATTCTACATAGATGAAAAAGGAATGTTTTTTCCCCCATAAACTTGGAATTCTAATAACCCAAATTATCCAACACTTTGTGAAATTGAGAAGCTTAAGATTTTCAGAGTTATTCAAAACTGGTGGTTGTTTAGAACATTGTAGTGTTATGTTTTACTATTACAAAGTAGAACTAATAATGGTTTTTATTAAAAATATTGACTAATAACAGTTGATTCCTGAGGGCTTACTCTTAAGAGGTTTACAATCTAGTGGAGAAACTAACAAAAACCTACAAATAATTGGAGTAGGAATGAAGAAAGAAGAAATAATTGGCATTTTCTCATTACCAAGCATTTTACAGCATTGATGGCCCACGGATTTTGTAATGACTCCCACCTGACAAGGAAACCTTAGATTAGTTGTTCAGTCCCAGCCTTGCCTGTGGGAGCCCCAGGCTTTCTCCCACACACTCTATTGCAGAGCTCCACACACCATCCTTAGATTTGAGAGAACTCGAGTTTTGACAAGTATGAGAAATAGCATTATGGCAGTCATGCTCCAGGAATTTTTTTATGGGTCTCTCCATCCTGGGTTCTCCTTGTTTGAGATGGTATTCACCTTTATTCCTCCTACTAAGTGGTTGAGAAATGAAATAGAAATTATAATGGACTTCAATAATTGCATAGTGAAGAAGGGCAAAGGCAGTAGAGGATGCTGCAGGAGGGTTTATTGGTGTTTTAGTTAGAAAAAAGTGAGAGGGAGCTCCTGATGGCTCAGGGTCAGGTAGAAAATTGTGTTATTTGCAGATCAGGAATGGAGTAGTTCAATGCTTTGGAGTGGAGCTGGAGAGTATTAGGTGCTGAGAGGAACAAAAAGTGGGCAAATGTTACTTAATGTTAACTATATATTTATGGGGTAATATCTCAAAGATGAGGAAGTAAATCCAGAGAGGTTGAGAAAAATGCCCAATGTCACATAGCTAAAGGGGCAGAGCTAGACTAATGTATTCCAGTTTTTTGACATTTTTTTTTTTGCAAAACAGCTTTCCTGCTTTGGCAGTCAGAAAAGCAGGAGGAGGTTAATCAGGTTCTGTCAGTGAGAGCAAGGGCATCTTGGATGTGGAGCAAGCTGACTGAATGGCTTCTGCAGAAACACTTGAGCAAGAAGACAATCAGAGGTAGGAAGGGGCTGAGAGCTGTGTGGTCAGGAGGGGTTAGGAGGAAGATAGTAGGAAACCAATGTATTGGATCATCTAGCCTAGATGCTGAAGCCCCTCATGCTTTTAACTTCAGAACATTATAGTCCTGTGTATAGGTAGGAGAAGACTCCCTGTATTAACTACAAGATTGGGGAGGAAGAGCATAAGAGGAGGGCAAGAACTTCAAAGGTGTTGCTATGAGACAATGGAGGATGGACTAGAGCATAGGTAGGAGAAGACTCCCTGTATTAACTACAAAGTTGGGGAGGAGGAGCATAAGAGGAGGGCAAGAACTTCAAAGGAGGTGTTGCTATGAGACAATGGAGGATGGACTAGAGCTTGGAATGGCAGTAGGGAGCGAGGGATCTTTGCTTGGGAATGTGCAAGGAATGGACTTTTGGTTGCAGAGAAATTGGCAAGTTCCAGGTAGAGAGGCCTTTATCCATGATAATATCCAGGTGGTGCAAGACTTGTTTGAAGGAAAGAGCAAGAGACAAAGGAGATAGCACTTAAGGCTAAAAGTCACTAACACTTGTACTTTGTCAGTCTCCCTTGCCTTTAGTTTTATACAGTAGCATTTATACTACATGTAGAACTTTTTTAGCATGAAGATTGTCAAAATTTTAAATGGCTATACAGTATTTCTTTATATGAGTGGTCCATAACTTACTTAAACAATTCCCAATTTGTGGGTATCTGGATTGTAAACAATCTTTTGCTGTTATAAATAACGCTGTAATTAGTATTGTGCCCAAATCTTTGGTTAAAATAGATTTCTAGAAGGTGAAGTAACTTAATTATAGGAATGAAGAGAGGTAAGATTTTGGGAGTTTGGAGAGTGGGGCTGGTCTACAGATTTAAGCTGCCCAGAGTTCTAGGTGGACTTGGATGCAGCCCAAGGATGGAGGGAGAGGAGGTGAGCTACTTGACCAGATACCAAAATGGGAAGCATGTCTCTCTGTGGGTGGATTCAACCTGTAACATTGCAAATGTGTATCACTGGCCAAATAAGAAACATTTTTTCAATGTAATTCTGTGAATTTGTTGGAAGTGCTCATTGTCAGATGAAAGTACCTGATGATAATGTATGATTGCAACAGTATTCAATCCAACATTATAAATATTTGCCGAAGGAGAGAAACTAGAGTTAGGTGGGCACCTTCTAGCCAGGCTCACTGCTCAGTACAGTATATTGTTCATAGCAGGTATTTTAGAGATGAGGCAATTCAACAAGGTTAAGTAACTTCTGAGGACTTGAGCCTATGAATACTCTCCTAGCCGAAGAAGAGCAAGATTAGAACCAAAAATGCTTCTTGAGGGCTTCAGATAAACCTGGCTACATACCTTGATCATAACACATGATACCTGACACCCATATTTATATGTTTATTTTAGGTTTTTTTCCCCTCAAGACCATGAAGTCCTTGAGAGCAAGATAGTCGATCCAAATACACTTATCATGTAATAGGTACTCAACAGATGATTATTAAATATTTACCAAAGGATGAATTGAGTGTCCTGGGCAGGAAAGTTCCTGAGATTTGGGTAGAGAGAACAAGAATTACAGTGGAGGAGAAATAATGGGTAGATCCCAACATTGAAAGAAAACATTAAGTCCTGAGGTGTAACCTTTCTTCGATATAATGCTTAGTCTGCTATGAAGCTACCACGGTCAATTCATTAAAAAATAATGTATTTATAGTAATGTATTTTTCTATGGGGAAAATATAATTTATTATCCTAACTTTAAAAAAATACCTCCTTCACTTATTTATTTAAAATCCCTTTGAATTAGTACATTTTCCCTCGTTTTTTTCTCTTGCAGTTTATTTGTTTAGTTTCCCACATTTTATGAATTGCAACCCCATGGTGTCATTTATGTTCCTGTCCTCTCTGTTAGCTCTAAAAGCTTGATCTGATTCAGATGCAGCAATAATACTTTCTCCACGGTGTTCACATCAGAAGACTTGCTATCCTGTCGTCTCTTTTGTATTGTTGGTGGCCTCTGATGAACGTGTCCTGTAAATTCTCTTTCCTTCTTCATTAATCAACTGGAAATGTTATCTCAATGACTGAATTATCTTAGGTAGGGTTTGTTCAGAAAGGATGTCTTAAGGACTTGATTTTTTTTTTTTTTTATGCCAGTTTTTAGAATATAAAATCAGGTCTTTGGTATTCTCTAATGGTGCTTGCCAATGTTTTTTGTTGTTGTTGTCATTTGTTTTTAAGTATTATATGAACTCTTGGCTTTTTGAAACATTTGCTGTGTTTCAGTCCACTGCAGTTATTATTCTTATTGAGGCCCAGTTTTGACCCAATGGGAGCCTCTTCATGTAGCCTCCTGCATCTTTCTGATATGACCCCAGTGGTCTTTGATGATTTCCTTTGTTTTCTCTTAAGACAAAATGTTCCAGGCTCACCTTATACATTTTCTGCCCCAAACCTAGACTCAGACATTTCTCCAAAGTGTTTTATTTTCAAAATGCATTTCTTTCATATCTACTTGTTGTCTCTCTGTCTATTATATATATGCTTATACATATACAATTTATGTAAATATGCTTCT